TGTGTGTGTGTGTGTACGACGAAGGGTGTTCAGTAAGACTTTACCCTGACGATGAAGGATACGACATCAAGGTACGGAATGGTGGCGTTGCATGGTGTGTGTCTATTGATTCGCGCGGAGGGGGGCTCGGAGTGCGCCCTATGTACTAAATCTTTTCTTTTTCTCTCCTGCTTTTGCCTTTTTGTCTATTTCCCATCACTAAAAGACTGTTCATATAATAGTGTCGGTGTGCTTCTCTTTACTCAAAGAAACTAGAGGGGGGGGGGTGAAAAGAAGCACATCAACATTATAACAGTAACATTCGTCAAAGAGGGATGCAGCCACTCCATTCTCTTGCACACACAAAAAAGAAAACAATAAAACAGAAAAGAAATAGGTGTGGTGGTGGGTATGACCTAGTATTCACACCCTCAAGCCACCCACCAATTTACGTAATTCTTTCTATGTATAGATAGACGTAGTATAACATGATAATAGTTCGTCCGTCAATGTCTGACGATGATCAACGCGTCTGACTGGGAGAATGTAAATTGTTTCTCAAAGAGAAATGCACATACATAGGAAATTAATATTAGATATTAAGGTGATTTGTGGCTTCTGCTATTGTAAAAGAGACCAGTTCCAGCAGAAAAGTGTTTGCCTCTTTTTGTATTGTTGTTAAAGATATATTTCCACTTATGGTCGGGGGTGCTTTGGTGTGCTTTGCTTCTTCTTTCTTACCATACGTGTATCATCCTTATCTTCTCTTCTTTTTTTTCTCTTTTTTTGTTTGTTACTATCGAGTGACACCTCCAATCTGACCTTATTATGATGCAGATGTTGTAAAACTCCTACCAACACAAATCAACTAGTCTTCCAGATGTGTTGCAAGTGCCGTGACACTCTTACTGAAACTAAAACTTCTAGTTCTTCGGCAAATTATAAAATAACTTTATTGTGCTACAAGTGCCGTAATGCCGGGTGCCCATTGCGGATGGGATCGGGTTAGGTCGGGTCGATCGCTCTTACTAAACATCAAATGATGTGTGTCTCCACCCCCACCCCCCTCAATCCCCCACCCCACCCCACCCCACCCCCACACCTGGCAGGTGCACGCAGACTTTGCCCAGGAGGTGATCAACAAGTACGGGCTCCTGCCCTGCCCTCCGGACAAACAAACGGTGGCCGCCTTCAGCCTCAACGACGCCTGCACTATCGCCTGCCTCATCTCACGACTCGCCAAGCGACAGTCGGAGGTGCACAACCTCAACATCCTGCTCAACTGCCTCAACTTCCTCTCCAAGTGCGACGGACGGCCGCTGTTTGTGTGGTGAAAACCTTTTTCCTGAAGGCATGTCTGTCTGAAGCCTCCATACATAGCGACTACCATACAATACGGGGTGCCCGTTGCGGATGGGATCGGGTTTGGTCAGGTAGGGTCGGGAGCGATCGCCCCACTCGCCGCCTGAAAACAAACGCGTTTGTTTTTGAGGCAACGAGTCTGGCGCGATCAGCTTGTGCCACGATAGCCGCTTTGCTCCCTCAATCTGGCTAGCAGACCGCCCTGACCAGAGCCAATCCACCAATGTGTTAGTGCAGGACTCTGTCATACCCCATTTTGAATAGTGACGTATGATGAAGTCTTACACTCAGCAGTAGAACTTATATTATAGTAGTAGGCCTATCCAAGACTGGGCACCTCCTGATGTTATTCTGGCTCACCATTGAGAGCACAGTTTGACTGTATTTGAAAGGAAATAAAAGGCAAGTAAGGAAAAGTACTGCACTCAACTACAGCGAGAAGTGTGTTTTGTCCTTTATTTGCGCGTCCATGGAGCGCACCAGCGCAGCGAAGTTTAAAGAGGCCAAAGAGCGGCGGCCATGACAGTGCCCAGTCTAGGATATTATAATTCCAAATCTATGCTAGGTAAAACTTTTCCCCTTGAGTGAGGCCCCTGTTGTGTCGCATCTTGTCGTGTCAGCCATTGGCTGATTCACTGCCCGCTGTTGAGGAAGCGAAGCTGTGAGAGATTTCGGAGTTACTGAGTCGGGTTACCAACCTAGTGAAAGAACAGCACCGTTGACATGCACGTATACGATATATGAACTATTTTAAAGACAAAATCAAACCCTAGAACTCAAAGTTTTTAGCACTTCTGTTTCAAAGTAACTCCAACTATGCTCTTTCAAATACAATAGAGTTTTGAAGTGTTCAGTTACTTTTGGAACATGTTTATTATTTCTACGAAAACCCCATTGTGCAACACACAGGAGATGATTATTTTGCTCATTCCAGAGCACAAACCCATGAGACAAAATCCTTCGTAATTTTGATAACACAATTCTGTGCTTCGTTTGTGTAGATATAAAGAGAGACGAAGACTCTCTTGGCGAGAAAAATACATTTTCTACAACTCTTGAAATGTACATAATATATACACAAAGGTCCTATTTCTGAACCGGCTATTTAAACTGTCACCAGCCTGTCTGATGTTATTACAATTTTCTCCATTCATTACGAAAGTATGCACATCTTTATCATCAACACATGATGCCAACAGATTGGTTTAACCACTTTGTCGTATACACCACAATGTAAGGGTCACTCCACTGAAGACAATAAAACACTCTCCAATGACAATAAATGTGTGTGAGAACTTGTGTTATTTCGAAACTTGTGCATTTCAGTTGACCATCCGTATCGTTAACGTTTGAGTTTTGCCAACTATCAAACATGTGTTTGTATGCTAATGCA